TTATCTATCTATCTATCTATCTAATCGATTCCTGCAGTTTCACACCACCCGTCGCCGCGGCTTTGCTTTCTTGCGCTGACGCCGGCGCCATCATTGCCAGGGACGACCCGGCTTTGCGCTCCAGCCATCACGAGGGGACTTTGGCTGGGATACTTATGTATATGTATACGTGTAGCCGAGGCTGGCATTGAGCGTTCTCGGCTCCGTGGCGCATCGCGGCTTGTGTGGTAGGATGACATGCTTTCACGTTGGAACCGAGTCCATCGCGGGCCCGGCACGTCAAAAGCTCCGCCCATGGATTTGTTCCGTCGGAGTTTTTTCCGTGGGTCCTTGGTCACGGCGACTGGTGAGGGAAGCTGGCGATCGTGGCGGTGCCGTAGATGATCCTTGCACATTTCCTCACAGTTGCGGCGACGGGAGTCGGGGGCAAAGATGCGCTGATTCTGGGACGAGATCGGCGTTGGTGCCGGGCACGTGGAGTGTGGCTGCTCGTACATTTTCAAGCTGTGGTCGTCGGACCAGGGGCTTCTGGTCTTGTTCTTCCGTGCTGGTTTCCTCGCTTCTGCTCTGCTGGCGAAGGCGCGTCTAGTGTCGCGTCCCGATGGGCTTCCCATGCGGGTCCCATAATTCTCAGGAAGGGTTTTCAGTTTGGCACCATGGCTATGTCATGATTCCTCTGCAGGCCATGTTGGATTCCTTTGCCACGGCCAAAGGTACGGGCAGGAAATCAACGTCGTTCACGGCGCGCTTGGCGGCAGCGCTGGAGGCCGGGGAGGAAGACGTAGGCGCCAAAGTATTGCAGGTCGTGCATTCTGGGCTCTCCAGAGTGCGTGGATGCGAGCGATGGAATAATAGCCAATCTACACCTGTGAGATGATGAGTGACCATGAGATTAGGTTTGGGTTTTAGATTGTCTCTGTACTGAGGCATGGACAGGGCGATAGAGCGAGCGCGGGAATTTGTGCAGGGAAGAGAGATCTAGCTGCAAGAGGATGGTGCAAGAGAATCCCCAGCGGACGCTCGAGAGCTCCGAGGGATGGCTCCGGCTGACGAGCGGGTAGAATAGAAAGATCGTTAAGATTGTGAAATCGGTGTCTCAAATGGTCAAGAATGAACACGTCCATTTCGGATTTGCGGTGCTCAAGCCACCTCAGCTCGAATATATTGGGGAGTTCGTTGACGTTGGCCAAATCAGCCATTCTTCCCTTCCTGCGTACACAATGTGGCCAGTGCGGCTAGACGGTTGTGGGAATTTGTCTGAAAGTGATCCGAGAGGTCGTGCAAACACAGTGATGTTTTTTCAGGAAACTGCTCGGGTCGGGGAAGCCAACGGAGCACAATTTTCAGATGATCATGTCAGGAGAATATGACGCCGGTGGCAAATGCCTTTCATATTCCAACAGAGAATCTTTAGAACTCTCCGATTCAGCATATTTGTGAAAGATGTCCATTGCAAACAATCCATGGTCACCAAAATCACTGTTCGAGGGGTGAATAGCATTGAAGGCCCCGCTGGATATAGGGCAATTAGTTGCATCGCTCGTTTGCGAGGGTAGCTGACACGCCGGATCCCTGACGACTGACCGACCGACGTGGCGCGGAACGAGGTATGGAATAAGTGCGTGGCATGGTTCGCAGATTCTGTATCCTGGTTAATTACTTGACGGAAGGATTTGGGGAAATAGATACTCCATACAACACAAAGCAGGCGGTCAAAGATAACCCGCGTCGCCATCCTCGCCTCAGTCCCTAAGACGTGCCAAGGTGCTAAGCCCCTTCTGGTTAGCAAGCTGACTTGCAGCCTTCGGGGCCACGCGGGTGACAGAAATCCACAGTAAGCAAAGAGGCTAACTCGAAGGGGTTTAGCCAGCGAAGAATGAGCTTACCTTAATCGTGTCTACCCCCATTTGCGCCCTACCCTCATTTGCGCCCATTTTAAATCCGATAATTCCAACGTCTACTATATCAATCCTATAGACGGCGACTATAGTACCGTAGCATTAGCTATCATGCTAGACTATGGTAGTAGGCTATTTAAATAAGTAATAGTGGTAGCTATGATAGTGGTAGCCATGGTAGTAGTAGCTATCTATGTCGGATTTACATTTACGCCCATTTTAGATCCGATAATTCCAACGTCTACTATATCAAGCCTATAGACGGCGACTATACTACCGTAGCATTAGCCATCATGCTAGACTATGGTAGTAAGCTATTTGAATAAGTAATAGTGGTCGCCATAGCCATGGTAGTGGTAGCTATCTATGTCGGATTTATCGGATTTTAAATGGGCGCAAATGGGGGTAGGGCGCAAATGGGGGTAGACACGATTAGCACTCTGAGGGACTGAGGCAGATCTAGTGCACCGCTGACTCAGCTGACTGCACAAAGTGATTGTTTATCTTGGGAGATCTCCCTCCTTCTTTCGGCTTTCTTCGAGTATTTATTTCTTTTTACGCTCGAGCAGCTAATGTCATGATCCAGGACCAACTCAGAGATTGAACCTCCTTACACAAGATTGGCTTGTCGACTACGACTTTCTGGCGACTACCCCATCAAATTCGAACAAATCAAGGTCCAGTGAAGTGGAGACTTGATCAAAGAGCCAGTCTTTCACGGAACACTATTGGGACTCGTTGCAACTCCATAAGGTGAAATCTCAATACTCGCTGCCGCAGCATTCCGAATCGCCCAATCGCATCTTTTTCTGATTTATTCGAGTCCTGCGCCATGTCGAACTCCGAAAGTCCAGCCAAGGTCTGGTACGAAGCCAACTGCCACTGTGGAGCCATCAAGTACAGAGTCAACGTACCATCGCTGGAAACGCAGAAAGTTACCAACTGCAACTGTTCGATCTGCTGCAAGAACGGTTATCTCAACGTCTATCCCAAGCGTACGGACGTGGTGTTCCACAAGGGCGAAGATCATATGAAAGGGTACCTCTTCGGAGAGAAGAGATGCATGCATAAATTCTGTCCGACATGCGGATCGTCTCTGTTTGTGGATCCTCACATGGATGATCCCGAATTGATAGTGGTAAATGTATGTGTCGGTTTCGTGATGGTGCTGCTATGGAACCCGCTGATTTGGCCAAGGTACGGATGTTCAAAGATATTGACGTGGATAAGTTGGAGCTGTGGAAGTACGATGGGTTCAATAGATTACAGCCTCGATATGACGTATGATTGGTTAGCTATAACGCGAGGCTATTTTTCAACAGTGCCTCGGGAGCTTCGATGGCAGTTGGTGGTCGGATGTCTGAGCACTCAATCGCTTAATAGAAACGTAAGCAAAGCAACTGACAGATTCTGTTCTTGAACGAGCCAGGGCCATGGATATATACATCGTACAATCGAAGCGCAAAGACGCAACTTCCCAATGTAGTAATAGCAACGTCGAGGTCATCTAGCTGGGGCCTTGACGGATACTTTTTGTACAAGGCCCCAGCGCATGCAAGGCTCATATGTTCGTAGCCAAGCCGGTGTATTTCTTGATGTTATTGAAGCAGTAACTCTGCTTGTAGTTTAGCGGTGGTGAGACGGGTTAACTTCCAGCATAAGTGGACGGTGGAACAACTTTCTTAATTGACATGTACCCTGCATCCGTTTTTGAAACCATGGCACGTGACCAGTATCGTCGCCACAATGCAGTGACATCGCGTCTATTACCCGCGGGTGAGGTTCTTCTTGACCACCATGCATATGCCGTCAGGTACGGTGTATGATTAACATCTGGGCGAGATTCGTGACAAGGCGGATCAATTCAGCAGATTTCGCAGGTCTGCCAAGCTCTCTTCCTGTTGTAAAGCCTTTTCTTGTCCTGCTGTACCTCGGTGTTGCTTCCTCTGTCAGAGCGAGGATGCTGCCTTCCGCTGTAGTGGTGAGAGCTGTAACGGTCAAAGCGGAGGGTTCAGCAAATCGGAACACTCGATGCACCTTCTTTCATAATCTGGTAACTTCAACGTGCCCTCTCACCGTTGGTTGGCAGAGTCGTCCAACAAGCAAATGCAGAGTTGCCTTTGGTTTGGAGAATTATATGGACAGACGTTTAGATTAGTTCCTTCGATACTGCTGTCATGCGCAATGCACCCGTGCAGAGTGTTCTGTTGCTGTTATTGCTGCACTGCTGCCGCAAGCGTCCGTGGTCTCTGGAATGTTTGAATTTCCTTTATTCAAAACAATGTTGCATGCTGCTCTTCGGAATAAACTGTTCCGAACAGGATGCGTATCTTGATATCGGTAATGCGTGATAGCTCCTCCATGCAGAGTGCTCCTCGGTGTGGAGAAATGTGGAGCTGGAAAGGCTCAAGGGCCATGTCTTCGGGCAGGATCCAGGTTGTGTCGGCCCTTTCTTTATTTCCATATTTGCATATTTGCATATTCCCATATTCCTTTATCCCCGTTATGCTGGTAATTAAAGTAAATGCAAATGAGCCTGTCCGGAAACGACGGACATATGCTCTAGGCCAATTCTATCATTGTCTTTTTCTTTTGACCGCCATGACTCATGGATCATATGATCCCGAGGGTCGGTGACAAAAGTCTCTGCCGACTTTTAGTGGGGGCTGCGGGAGAAAGTCGGCAGAGACTAATGTCACCGACCCTCGTCCGCTGGCCAAAGCTGCCGGCGGGTTTTTATGTGTCGCTTACGAGTAAGAAAGGGAGAAGACATGGTTCAGCTTTTCAAAGTGGGGTTCGAATTGGCTATCAGCCTATCACTGCCTATCATTGCCTTTCATTCGCCAATCCAGCAGGGGTTAAGCGACTAATTTTCCACTAGATTAATTAGGCTTGCGCTAGATGCATAGCGTAGGGCTAGTGGCAAGAATCTCAAAAAACAAGAAGTCAATGTACTACGTATCGGCCTTTTGGCTTTCTCCCGCCAGGAGAGATGTGAGAAAGAAGAGACGCGTCCGAATTCCTCCTGTACTTATCCGGAATGTGATTACCTACCGTAGGTATCCCAGTTTTTGATATATCAATTTCGCGTGAGAGGTGACCATGCAGTTATTAAGCGAATGGAGGAGGGCATCAAGTCGGAAGCGCGCTGCGGAGGAAAGCAGTGAAGAGAGCTCGAGAAAGCGCACGAGAGATGATAATGGAAGGCGTGGCTCAACTGGAATTGGGACTGGAAATATACTCGACCAAGAGTACAAAATTCGTGGAAATTCCACCGCTATGAAAGATGGGTTTCATCATCCATCATCGCCATTGAAAAAAGAATCGGCTTCGTCTCCCGTGGCTACGGAACCACTGCCGTCACCGCCAATACATCCGGACCGGCGAGCCAACTTCTTCAATGCTGCTCCTGCTCCTGCTCTTGCTCCTGCGCCTGCTTCCGCTTTTGCTCCCGGTCCTCTCGGAGACAAGGCGGACTTTCCTCCGAGTCCGTTGTCACGAAGCCCAGAGCACATCAACAACACTGAAACTGAGGAGCAAAGAAGTAAGTCATTGCTTTCATTTGGAGAGCTAAGTATTTGAAAGGGCGTGCAATTACTTGGATATCGGACATGCACCTTCCCTTCCCATCTCTCATTTGCTTCACCAAGTTTAACACTCACACAGCTACATTTCTTCCTTCACCGTCACACCCAAACCTCCGCATAGACACCATTCGCACTTTGAGCAGCTTCGATCCACGAGGTCCGGATTACAGTCCCGCCATGACTTCACATTCCAGTAAGTGACCTCATCTCCAGGAAGGACCTCAGTATTCAGCCATCACTTCACCGCCCACCGTGATCCATTCCCACTGACCCTACCTCGAAGATGAAAAGTCACGACCAAGCCATGATCCACGGAAACCATTAAACGATAGCTACCCTTATAATGCCAACCCGCCACCACGCCGAAAATCCGACATCATGCCTCCCCCCACCAATGCCACCAAGATTACTCGGTCGGAGGCCTCCACTCCAAAACTTACCTCTTCGCCTACTAACAGTGACCTTGAACGCCGGCAATTCTTGACTACCCAGCCCCAAATACCTCTACTCGACAGCCTCAATGGCTTTGCTCAAAATATCATGTCAGCTGCTAGCTTGACCGTGAGACGCGACCTTATCAAGCAGCAGGCTGTCGGACAGCAAAAGGAGCGTGACCGACAGGCCAAATTCAAATCTACTTTTCTTACACTAATTGAAGATGCCGAAGCAAGAGTCGAAGGTGTCGAGAAAGTTGCCGTGGGGATCGAAAAGCAGATAGATCTGAGCTCGGAGGCCCAAACCAAAATCGTCATTGCCTTAGCCTCCCAGCTACAAGAAGCTGAAATCTCCGACGCTCCGTCCAGCGCCCGTGATCAAGGCCTTCTCAAGGATGCTATTGCTGATATGAAAGCGGACCTCAAGGCTGCTAAAAAGGAGATGGAGAACACCAGTGATCGCAGCCGCTTCAAGGAACATCTTGCTGATATAAAGGCCGATCTCAAGGCTGCTGGAAAGGATATAGACTACCTGAACCGCGAAGCTGTAATGCCCGACAAATTGCATAAGAAGCTCCGTGGTCTGGCGACCAAAGATGAGCTTCAGGGACTGGTTACTAAAGATGAGCTTCGTCGTGTCACTACAGATGAGGTTCGCAAGCATGTTACCGAGGCACTGGTACCAACGGAGAAGAAACTCGCTTCGCTGATCGTAGAGAACGCAAATCTAAATCAGAAAACAAAAGGCGTTGAAGTTGCCATACACAAGCATCACGAGACAGCGGAAGAAAGGGATCAGCAACAATCTTCTCGGTTCGGCCGTTTAGATACCTCTTTGAACGACATGCAGATGGAGCTAAGCCGCTTAGAGCTGATACTCCAAGAACAAAGACAAGATTATGCTACTGTCAAGGTCGATCTAGGAGCCCAAGACAAAGCGCTGACCGACCTCGACACTTACGTGAGGCGCGATCCGAGCGATGACGATCCCAGCTTGGAAACACTAGTCCTGAGAAATTCAGATCAGATTCAGCTGTTACAACAAGACTGCGAGAAGCTCGATAATGTGGTACGGCAAACTCAGGACCTCCAAGCTGCTTCAATAATCGAATCCTCGCCTCAGGTCTCTAATGCATCTGCCAAGGTCGATACGAGCATTGAAGAAGAGGTGAAGTTGATTCGGCATGGCCTGGATGCTCTGGAAGCCGACCGAGAGAAGGTCGCACTGATTCGGACCGACTTGGATTCTTTAATCAATGAAGAAAAGCTCAAGGATGTGGGCGTAGCTGAAGGGTTCGAAGTGATGGAAATGAGTCTGAACAAACAACGTGAAGACTTAGCCCGTCTTCAAAACGAGTTCAGAGTAGTCAAGCAATCGCAGGCTTCTCAAACGGTTCCGAACCATCCTCCAACACCACCATTCGCTAGTGCTTCCACGAGTCCTCGTGAACCAGATCACCAGAAGCTGCAAGACGTGGAGATCTGGCTCACAAAGCTGACGAAAACCACCCAAGGTCTCGAGTTGTTCGTCAATTCTCAACAACAGAAGTTTGATGGACTAACCTCAGACCGCGTCGTGCAGAGCATGGTCCATCAAATGCAGCAGATGTACCCGCATCACCCAGGCAATCTTCTTGCTCTACTCAATCAGACTGTAGCGAGGCAAACTAGGGTGGACAGCTATCTCAGTGGAAATCTCAAAGATCGTCTAGCCAACATCGAATCTCAAATGGCTGCCCGAGTGGACACAGACTCTAAAATCGAAGAGATCACTCAGTTCACGACCGAGAGCCGAAAAATCCTCTTAGCCACCATCCACAGTCTAAAACAGGACATCGAGGGACTGAAAGAAGTAGCAATCAACAACCGTCCGCAAGAGACTTCTGACCATGGCAACCGAATCGATGAACTGGCAGATAGAGTGACGGCCGTCGAAGCGAAATATGTCAAAGCAATCGGCGATTTTCAGGCAAATCAAACGGATCTGATCCGTAATGTCACTCACCTACAGTTTCGAAATGCGACCGGCTCTGCCAGAAATACGCCCGGAGAGCTTACTGTTGTGTCGAGAAGCTCGAAGAGCGTTGAGCCTAATGGAAATACCCTCTCCTTTGAGAATGTTGACCATTCCAACAGCTCCGACACATCTTCCAGTCAGCGTTCGAGTCGTGGAGTACGACGAGACAGAGAAGAGCGCCGTCCTTCTGACCCCAACCTCAAGAGGAAAGCGGTCGATTCAGATGACGAAGATGAGGGCGAGGATGCTAGGCCTACGAATGCAAAGAAGGTTCCCAGGAGAAGAAATGTGTCAGGCAAAAATCCTTTTTCGTAACGACAGCAGATCCCGCGATTTGTCGCTGGGTATAGGGGAATGCAAGTTGCTTCGTTCTTGATCTGGAAGGCTTCTTAGTGCGACAGGAACATGTACATACCGTTCCTGGGCTTGAATCCCAGCTCAGATAATGGACACGATGGGACACACATGATTGCTGAGAAGATCAGCTTGGATTTTTTTGAAGAAGTTCTATCTAAGAGACTCCCTTCTATATCCATACCCATGTATAAAGTAGCGAATCCTTATTGTAAAGGCTTGGCCACTCGAAGCACTATCGATTTAATCGTATAATCAGATATTCTTGAACTTGCCGACTTGTAGTAGAGCTCCTGTTGGGGTATATATGTACCCCTAAAAGCTTGCCATAAAGTAGTCGCGTAGAAGATCTGTAGTAAAGACCTTTTTCGCAATTGCCAAACGGCGAGTCAAAGTTGGTGATGGCGGCTCCGGATTCTCTTGGCACGCTCAGCAAGTGAAGAGTACTTGCTCCTTGCTCTCTAAATCGACCTCGACTGCCTCTACTGTATCATCACCAGAACTTCAATTGATGTTCCGTAATACCCCAGTGAGCAAGCTGTCTGAGGGTACTAAGCGGTGGAGCTGGCCGGGTTCAGAGTATAAATTTTTACAACAGTGTTTGCACCTCTGCACCTTCTCTTGAGCCATTGAGACACCCTCTCATCCCCTTTGACTACACTCGACCTACCCTCATTGCATTGCATCTGGGCCTGGTAATCTTATAACACTCTTCTCGGCTCCAGACACTTTGTTCAGTAATAATTGAGGCAATATGGCTAGAACTAGGGATGTGGGCGAGCTGGAGGCTAGCGATGACTCCATTTCACTTACGTCCACTGTATCTAGCGCCAAGACCGAACGCTATGAAGTGGACTGCATCGTCGCTGAAAGGAAGTCGAATGGAGTTATGAAGTACTTGACAGCGTGGAAAGACTACCCCGAACATCGTCACAGCTGGGAGCCCAGGGAGTGTTTTTTCGAGGATGATGTGTTTAGTGAATGGACCAGGACCAAGATGCGCGTGACTCAAGGTCTTGAGAGACCTTTTGATGTCAAGGCTTGGGAAAAGAGGTGCAGGGCGATCAAAAAGGAAACTCGCCTTCGGAGGGAGCGACGCCGAGACAAGAAACTTCGGCTCAGTAACCAAGATGGGTTGGCTTCGGGGCCGGGAGGACAGGACGCCAATATCGAAAGCTCGGGTCCAGAACCTGCTCCGAGACGGCCTGACAAACGCATCAAGAGGAGAAGCGTGCATCAAGACTCATCGCCGTCGTCATCAATCTCTGATCCTTCGTCCAGCTCCATTTCCGAGGACAGTGACAGACCTCTATTATCTCGACAAGAGTCAGAGGTCTTCGCCTCGAGTTCTAAGTGGACACAAGCCGAAACGATTGCTTTGGAAGAGGGTCTTCGGACTTTGAAAGGCCCTCGCTGGAGGGAAATCTTAGGCCTGTACGGGCATAACGGTACAATAAGCCAAGTACTGAAAGACAAAACGCCCATTGATTTGTACGACAAAGCAAAAAGCGTACGCCAAGAATTCGTTGACAGCGGCAGAGAGCCCCCCGAATATTTAAAGCCTTTCTCGACATCAGCTTCCAGTAAAGGATCAGGGACCACAACGCCAAATGTCTATTCTGAAAGCAGGGGTCAAAGCAGAGCAGCGTCAAAAAGGAGCAGTAGAAGTACGTCCGCGGATTCAATGATGGCAGAATTGGATGAGAAGCAACGGATCCGGGAAGCAAAGAATCGAGAGAATAGTCGACCACAGCAGACTACCAATTCGACAGAAATCCTAAAATCTGCAAAAGGACGGGAGAAAGAGTCAGACACTGCAAAGAAAATGTCGGGCAGGAAGCCCAAAGCTTCCCAGGCTTCTCAAGCACTCGCTCGGAAAGCGGAAGTAGCTTTTACAAGGGAAACCCTCGAAAAAACTCCGAAAGCTGCGCAAACCAAACCTCACCCCAACAAAACAGGTCCTCATACAAAAGGGGCAACCGTAGGCAAAGAAAGTAGCACGGATGTATCGCATCCGGGAAGACAGTCGAAAGACGGACATCGTGTAAAAGAGCCGTCCAATCTCAGTGCTATCCATCAAGCACAAAGTCAGCCAAAGAGCCTAGCTCCTACTGCAAACGAAAATGCGAAACCTGCAACAGATGTTGCTACTCAGCCAGAGTCTTCCCGCGCAAAAGTACCCGAAAACACCAAAATCATGCGCGAAGAGACAGCCCGGACTACTTGGTCCGGAACAGCAAGAACGCCAACGGCGCGCCCATCGGTATCAAAATCATCTCGACTAGGAGCCGTAGGAAGTGGACCAACTCGTCTTAGTTCTTTGAAACTAAAGCCCAAGCTTGGACAAATTGAACCGAAGAAGCCGAGCTTGACGGGCGATGTTACTGCTGCATGGAATGCGGAGCCGAAGAAGCGAAAGTCGAATAACTGGGCAACAGCGAATGTAGATCCAGTGAATGGCCAGGCTCCAAAACGCAGTTACAAGTTGTCAGTCCAGAATAGAATCTACAAGAGTCGTCGTGATGGACGCGTACCAGATCCGAATCGTTTGGTCTTCATAGATCCCAAGACCGGGAAGGCACCCACAACAGTCCCTGCACCTTCGGCTACCGCGATGCTATCTAAAACGCCTCTGCAGCTACATCAGGAAGAACTTGCTACGAGAGAAGCTGAACAACGTCAGGCTCAAGAGGTGGAAGACGCCACGCTCATTAGTACAAACGAACCTGATCCACCACCACAAAGCACAGACCAAAACCATGAACTGACGGCTGACAGGCAAGGAGTACCTGAAACAGGTAGATCAATATCGAATGCTTCTACACTGGCGATCAGACCTACAGCTGGTGACATGATCGACCGCCCGGCGCATATCAACAGCCTCAGCCGCCCTTCGCCAGCTTCCCCACATCATGGTTTCCCCATAAATGTACCTCTTGGACCTAAAAAAGAGACAGCAAGAATGCCTACAATGTCTTTACACGACTACACGAAACGCTCAATGTCATCCAGTCATCTTTTGAACGAAGCCGTTGTCAGCTCGCATCGACCGTACTCATCAGATGACCCTTCGAGGTTTACCCTGAGGAGTTATCCTTCGTGGGAACACAAGAACGAACTCCTTAACAGGATAGACACCAACTTGGTAATAGGGCATATCATCCTTGGGAAGGATGATCAGGAAAGCATCAATGTGAAACTTGTAGGCTTTGAGTTTGAAGTGAAGAAACTTCTCTTGACCGTTAAGTCCTGGCCTCGAACAATGCATTTCGTGTTCGAAACGGTTTGTCTGGCGAGCGAATACCAAAAATACTTTCCAGCAGTAAGTTCTTGGTGCCGATGCAAGAGTGTTTGCTAACGTTAGATAGGAACCTCCCGATTACTTGGGGTCAGGCTCTATCATTTCATATAACCAAAGCGCATTGGCTGTGGAGGACATAACAGAAATCCTTGCGAACAATCTGCAAGGGGGTCTGTTCTTCGCTCATCAGTACACCATGCTCATCTACCCTGCCGGCGCCAGCGTTTGGACATTTCTGGATAAAAATCTACCAAATGTCCATCTTGGGACATCCTTGAGATTCGTCATCCGCAGACCACTGTCACCAACACTAGCAGACGTCCGCGGGCTAGCAACTGATCGACTTTCAAAGAGAGAACCCGAACGGTACGCGGAAATTATGACTAAAATAAAAAAGAATCCTATCCAGGCCGAAGACAAAAATATCAACATTGTGTTCCGCGACATGTTCGAAATTGATTTCGCTCGTCTCGTTGCTCAGAACGGGCCTCAACAGCACCCCCCAACCAACATATTCTTCCTCTGCTTCATTCCTCAAGGCTGTGAGAATTACGAACCAGATTCAACAAAGCGTTCAGCTCTGCGCATGAGGACATCTGAAGAGCATGACCTGTTCATCAAGTTCCTCCAAGCAAACGGCGCCGAAGAAATCTATAGTATGCAGAGCACTGGCTCTCAAGAGATTGATAATAACGGTGCTTGGGATTATTTCTTCAAGAACGTCAAGTCTGGAACGATCATTGTAAGCACTTCTTCGACTTTGAGATATAACAAAGTACATCGCTGATATGACTAGTTCCATGATGCGTATATTCGTTATGATTTAGTCCCTCGCCTTGCTAAGCATCTTTTGCATGGTTCGGTTAGTGTTTGGAAGACATCTCTGTCTCCCATGCACCCTGGGGAAAAACACCCCCATCTAATTCGCCTCTTCCCTCACGGGGGCGTCCTGCTCTTAACCGAATCTCTGGTTCTATACCGGCCGCGTGAGACTCTCAGAATTCTGATGTGGTTCCGTCGTGTTCACATCCCGGGGAAGGCACCAGGCACCTGGAAGCTTGCCGTACGGCCACATGTTCGTGAATGGCTTCTTGGTATCATGGATGCATATTCGGATTCAGGAAAAGACATTTTCGGATGCAGCATACAGATCTTCGCGGATATCTACACAGAAATCTACTGGCTTCTCCAAAGCCCTGATCCAGGCGACAACGGCCTCATGTGCTACGAATGGGATTACGAAACCCCCACTGACGAAGCTCCCATCGTCAGCTCCTCCAGTCTACGTGTCTTACAAGCTCGCAAAGAGTGGAAAGGCGAAGGAGCGGACAGAGAACCGGACGACAACAACATCAAACAAAACGACGATCTCCTTGTTCAATGGTTCGCCGAATGGGCCATGGTCAACCTTCACAACTTCCGCAAATACAACGTCATCCTGGGCTACACGAACGATGATCCTTTTACCAAGAGAGCTATTTCGGATTACGAGAAGGCCTGGGGTCACATTGAAGTCATGACACCTGAAGACGCCTTCACGCGTCACAGAGTCACCGCTCAAAGCAAGCTCGACGGAATGGAAGCTGACAGACGCAGGAAGTCGAAAGAAGAACTGCCGGCTAAGAGAGCTGCGGCCGAAAAGGTCCGCGAGGAGGAACGA